TGTCTTCTAAATCCTCTTCTAATTACTAATAACAATATTAGATTGCGACGAAAGAATTTACAAGATACCTTAATCTGTTTTGAATAGTTGAATTGTCTTCTAAACCTTAATTTTACCTCTAAGTAAACATGTTCCGCACACCCAAAGTAGTCATTTCAAAATTTTGCGCGGATTAAAATCAAATATTGTCAAGAAATTACGATTTAATTAGTTTTAAAAACTTGAGAAATTTATATGATATGGCACATAATACGGCACATTACCTACGGCATTGTGGCACACGGCGGCCTATTGCCGTATGGGTGCTACTTTTAACAAAGAAAATATGATTTTAAACGTAAAGAAAAGGTTTTATAAATACTAAATGTTTTACAAAATATATCTTACAGATGACAGGAAATAAAGCAATTAAAGCAATTAAAGAATAACTTGGACTAAATTATGACCCCCGGTGAAGATTATCTCAAGAGAAATAATAAATAACACTATCAATAGATCTTCTCATCTTAACTATAAATGATGTTAAATAGTGTTATAGTGTTAAGAGAAATAAAGCATTTATTCTTTCATAAATTAAAATTAGATAAAATTACACTGTTAATCTAATCTATAAGATTTGACGGTACTATTCTTTTCTTTTTGGGAGTTGATGCTTCAAGAATAGATAAATGCACCAATTCATTTTTTCTTTTTTAATAAATCATCATGCTTACAGTGTCACAAATGTGCAGAGTATTTCGAACGCTTTCGCCTATCTATCTGCCAGTAGGTTAAGCAAGCCGTCGCTCTAAACTTGCCTATCTCGAAACAGATAATAAATATAATATAATTCTCTTTAATTCTTTATTTTTAATCTGAAGGCTCATTGAGTAAGGTGGAGTAAAAGTGTTAACACAGTATCAAATAATATTTAACAATATTTCGCAATATCGCAACACAAAAGATAAGTTTATTAAAATATAGGGGTACAAATTTAAAAAGTAAAGTATCATTTAACGACAGAAATATTACGATGGGTAGCGTGTCTATTTTACCGGCCCTAAAGGAAGTTTACTTTTCTATCTAATAATATTAATGTTCGAAACTATCCATAATTATTAATTAACTAAAGTCAAACGTCCTATTATGACTGCTAAGACTCTGAGAGATTGCTACTTCTTTTATACTTTTTCACCTTCATTCAGTTTTTACCCGTCATCCTTCGTACTTCATCCTTTGAGCATTATCATTCATCCATCTTTTGGATGACATTATCCCAGGTGATCGTACAATCATCTTTGTATCACCATTTATCATCCCCCGTGATAATCCGTATGATTACCAATTTACTTCGCCACAACAGTATTATAATCAAATAACAATGACCAATTTGAATCTAAATCATATATGAATGGAATAACGTTGAAATTTGTTATCTACATTCGTTTAAATCACAACTTTGGCTTTAATTCAATCTTCTCTCCATTGTGACGAAAATTAATCATATTTATCTGATTAGTGTTTGGTAAATAGATCCCAATTTATTGACCAAAGAACACACAATTTCGTCTAATTTGTTTCATCTAATAGGCACAGTTAAGATTGCGGAATTTAATTTTCCACACCACATGACAATCGGTTGGATTTATATTTAAATTTTACAATTGCATCAAAAATATCAAATTTTGGCCGATAAGTTAGAAGTTCATTAGACAATTCAAATATAGGTTTATCTGGCGTTTAAATAAAGAAGAGGTGATATATTAATTATAAGAGAAGAAAAGGTTATGAAGACCTCATTCGAGGAGTATTTAATTAAACGTTATTTTCATAGGAAGAAACATTTATTATTATAGAGATTTTAAAACCTGGCCTGTAATGATAACTATTTTAAAAATTTATCGTCAATACCTAAGATTAAATGATGTGTAACACTTAGTTAAAGCACAATTAAATTAATTATGTTAGATTGAAAAAATCACAACAAATTAATGTGATTGATTATTAGTGAGCAAAATAATCCTCTTAAAGAAATAAAAGAATTAGGAAAAACCTAAATTAAATTATTAAGAAATAGTCCAATTAAAATCTAAATGTAATTAATATTGTCTACATATCTGAATTTACGAATTTTATTGATAAAACATATAATTAGATAAATAAATTAATTATAGATTTTAACCAACGTTGATCGATTTATTTTGAGTTTAATAACTTAAATAATAAAGAATAAATGGAATCAAGCTATGAGATTTTAATTTTTGTATAAAAAAATAAAAGACGTAAAAATAAACGAAGCAATTTATCCGAAACTAAATTCAAACTGAAGTATCTAATTCAGTATGCCAAACATTTAAAGTTAAGAAATAATATAAAATAATAAATTAACGTATCCAAAAATATTTTTATTCAGATTTCCATTTTATAAATTTTCTATTCTCGGATTACCTTTTTAAAATGTCCGGTTTATTCTATCTTCAAAGTGATACAATAAATAAATGAACCCATTTAAGGACTATTTTTTTTTAAAAAAAATGACTACTCAATTTTATGAACGTTTATCAAACCAACTTACCCAGCTTCTTGAAAACCCTATTGATTATAATGTCACAATTGAAGTTGGCGAAGAACCTGAGAACCAAATTTATAAAGTTCATTCCTATATCTTACAATCCCGTTGTTCTTATTTTGAAAAAAAATTAAACGAAATTTCTTTCAATGAAAATCATATTAAAGTATTTAAAATGTCTAATATTTCCATTAAAATATTCAATATCATTATCAAGTAAGCAATATTAATTAAATTTATAACTATTTTATTTTTGAAATTAATTAAATTTTAATTAACACATAATAATAATAAATATATAAAATAGGTATATCTATGGTGGAATAATTTCGTTAGAAAAATTGGAAAACTCGGTCATTTTTGACCTTTTGATTACTTCCAATAAATTTAACCTCAATGAATTAGTTGAACTTTCTTCAAACTCATCTTGTCGATAATAATGATTCCTGGCTAAGACAAAACTTTTCTCGGGTTCACCTAACAAGTTACCAAACGAAAAACTTTAGAATTATACAAGAATTCTGTAATGAAATAATTGCCAAAAATCCTAAAACGAGTCTGAAAGTTTTCCTACTCTTCCGGAAGATACATTAATCTCTATTATTAAACAAGATAATTCACAACTGGAGGAAAGTAAAATTTGGCAATATATAATTCAATGGGGAAAGGCTCAAAATCCAACTTTACCAACAAACCTTGATGAATGGACTAGTGATAATTTCCTAACCTTAAAAAACAACTTTGAAAAATTGTCTTCCACACATTAGATATTTTAGTATTTCCAGTAAAGATGTATTTGAAATGATTTTTCCATATCAACAAATTCTTGAACCTAAATTATAGTCAGATATCAATAGTAAATTATTGGCTCCAAACAAACCAATCGCTTCAACAATATTACCACCTCGAAAAATCTTAGACGAAACACTTAAAGCTCCCAATTCTATATCTTCAAATATTATCACTGACGAAAATGCCTTAAGAATTTCATCGTAGATTGATAGGAGAGAATCAAAATATACTAGATATACCAAAAACAATCCTTATGAATTTAAATTACCTGTTAGAGGAAGCAGAGATGGGTTTAATGTTAAAACCATTTATGAAATTTGTGATAAAATATCTAACTTACTTATTGTTTTAAAGGTAAAAGATATTGGAGAAATTCTAGGAGGATATAGCTCTTGCGTATTAGATAAAATAAAGATAAATGGATTTATAGCCAAGATAGCTTTGCATTTTCACTGAAAACTGAAAATCTTAAAAATTATATTTTAAGCAGGGTAAAAAACCATGATTGTGCTATTTTTAATTACCTACTCCAGTTAAAATTATTTTTTTGGTAATACTTTATGCCTAGTAGGCAATTTGAAAACTGATAAAAAATGTTGTACTTTGCAAGGTAAGGTTTCTTATGATAAACCAATTCGTTCTGAAAAATTCATTGATAACATTTTAAGTGACAAAAGCGGGTTTAATGTTGAAGAATATGAAGTTTTTAAAGTTCAAAAAAAAAAGAATAATTTATAATAAACATATTTTTGATACAATATTTATTTTATTTATTTTTTAATAAAAAAATTTTAACTTAATTTATATCAAATGTAATAAGTTGTTAAAACAAGATACAATATTTTCTACTTTTACCGTTACTTAGCAGTATTTTTAACAACATATATTTGACAATTTATATTTATTTCTTTTATATGAACTAAATTATTTTTAAAATCATTTTAATTGTCTCTTTCTTAAATTTAATTTGTTCAATAAATTCACAGTTGTTTTAGCTTCGTTTAAATAAATATTTCAGGAATAACTGACCGGTAATAACAGATAATAATTCTCGTGATTATAATCTATTTGAATTTCATTTCTGTTATGTTCTATATCCCAACATCATAAGTTAAGCACAACATGATTTTCTTTATCAATCGAAAAAAAATTTTAAATGGTTAATAAAATGAGCAAATAAAATAATTGCGTAAAAACTTAAAATAAATTTACCTTTTCGTTCTTCGCGAACTTTATGTCTTTCATTATTTTTTTTTTTCTTCAATACTAGCATGCTTAAAGATTTTTTAAAATTTTTTCTCCTTTAACTTATTAGTATTAATTAAAAACAAAAAAAAAGAACGTTCTTTATGTAAGTCATATTTTTTATGGTCTCGATCAAATAAATTGATTCTTTGAAAATTTATATAAATAAATTCAAAACATTCTTATTTTGTCATTTTTTTCGGATAGAGAAAAGAATCAAATAATACGAAAAATCTAGGTTTATAATGATACAGTAATTATTTTATTCACTTTATTCGAAGCAAAACTTTAAAATTTCTATAATTTATAATTTATTAAACATATAAAAAAAATCATAGAGTTGTAAAAATCTTTTATTATCTTAATTTTATATTAAATAAATTTTATTAATTAAAATACTTTCAAAAGAAAATGTTTATGTGAAATATCCATGATATCGAGAGGCTTGTTCCTATTTTACAATGAAATAAAAAATTAATTAATTAATTAATAATTAGCGAATAATAAATAATTATAAATAACAACTGATAATTAAAGAATTGATAAATAATAATTATAATAATAATAATAATAGAAAATTATAAAATAACTTACGATAATAAAAACATATGTAGCAAAAGTATGAGCGACTTTTAAGTTATTAGGAAATAAATCTTTAAACAATTCCTCCGGCACATTCTCAGGCCAAAAATTTAAAGCGGGATTACAAAGATAAACGGATAAAGATTGATTCTCATTTAAATCATTTTGTTGTAAAAATTGATCACTAAATTGTTTTAATGCTTTGAAAAAACTGTAAGCAGGAAGAAGTTGCTTTTGAGTATACGAAGGATCAAGGTCAATGATAGATAATATTTTTTCTTTGAGTTCCGGTATTAAGGATATTTTGTACTTTTCGTGGATTTCACATATTTTTTTGAATCTTTTCGTGTCAACTTATAATATAAAATAATAATAATATTGAGATGTTATATAATATTAGGCACAAAAACTTATATATATATATAATATAATAAATAGAGAAAGAATTTAATAATTACCTGAAGCTTTCTTCATTTTAATAGTTTCACATTTGGCAGCCGCTTTATTCCAAATCTCTTGAACCTTCTCTAATTTGTTTACTCTTATTTCCAAAGAAATATTATCTTCTTCATTTTGTTGGATATGTGATTCCATCTCATTCATACATTTTTTTTGTTCATTAAATTCTTTGACTGTGGTTTGTAATTTATTAATATCCTTTGTAATATAGGTGATTTGATTTTTAAGACCTTTATTTTCTTGTTTCAAGAATTTGATTTCAGACTTATGTTTTTCACTTTCATTTTTTCGATATAAAAGATTTTCCTCAAGTTCTCCTATTCTTTGTTTTAATGTACAAAGTTCTGTTTCTTTGAGTGATTCTAAAAAAGTATTTTAATGTATTTACGTAGATTATTTTTTTTTTTTAAAAAAAATAGATATATAATTAGAATTGTTTACACACAGAACACAGAAAAAGCAAAAAAAAAATTTTTTAAAAAAAAAATGATCACCAAATTTAATTCCCATATCATTTATTTGTTTACTCAAACGTTCAATCTCCGAGGCTTGTTTTTGTAATATTATTGCAAGTGGATTATTTTTAATAGCTTCCATGAATTGGTCTTCGTAATTTTTATATAATAATGTAATATTATCTGTTGTCATATTTTTTTTTGTTGACTTTTCGCCGCTGTTCGTTTATGAGAAGTATTTATTTATTATTTGCGATTCGTATAAAATCTCATTTTAGACAAAGCATAAATCAGATGATATAATTCTATTTCTGGAGGCGCTTAGCAGATTCGTTAACTTTATTTTTAAAGAGAATTCTTTATTCTAAATTAAAAAACAATCTTCATACATCATGTTTATTTTAGAGTCGAAGTATAAAGAACGATTTGATACTCATTAAGAAGATCAAATGTGAGAAAGTTGTCATACGACCCACATAGAAATCATAATAGTTCTTTGTTTTGTAAATCAATTACATAACTTAAAATCGTGTACGTACATTTTCATTATAATACTAGCTTTCCTGAGAATAAATAATTAATAAATAATTTGATTTATTCATTCAAGTAGAGTTCTTACTGAGAATGAAAGAGATAAAAATTCGAATGCATAAAGTTTTTCACATAAAATGACCACGATTACATTATATTAAAATTTCTCTAAATACGAGGTGATGATAATGTCACACTATTGGTTATTCAAGATCACGAGAATGATAGTATCACAAAATGATCTTCTATAGTGGATTTTATATATAGAAATGAGTGACATAGAAGATTTGGTTACTTACTGAAAGGTCATCAGAAAGAAAATTCAAATATAAATGATAGTAAATTACAATAATAGTTGAATCCATATGAAGTAACTTTTTTGGTATTATGGTGTTCTAGGCAAGTCTAAAAAATCTGCTCAGCTAAGCTGAAAATAAAATTTGCTAGAAAAATCACGCCGATCATAATTATAGTAGAAATTCCATATGGTATCGACTCAAAAAAAATAGGCCGACGAATCACCTAAGTCGACTAATAACCAGTTCATTATTTTCATGGTGATGAAACAAAAGAGGATTTTTTACCATAAATGCGTAAGAAGAAGAATGATGACGATGATGATAATGGAAGAAACGGAATATTTTAATAGTATTTAAGTAGTAATTTGTATTTTTTTTTTTTGACATTTATAATATTTCGGAATAAATAATAATGTCTTATTTCGGAAAATAATTTTATGATTTTCCTAATTCTTTTTTAATTCCAAATAAGGAATTCAAAACCGAAATTAAATTTAGCAATTAAATATTTTGACATTTTAGAATTAATTTATTTCAGATTAGTTTTATTATTACAATGGCATAACAGATAATGATCCATATTCAATCGGTTATCGATAAAATTTTAATCATTTTCTATCAAGAGAAAAAAAAAATCAATTCAGGTGACTAGAATCAATTATAATCATTTATAGATGTATGTGTTGCTGGCGTACGTTTATTTCATATAAAGAAATTTTTTAAATTCTATAGGATTCTATTATTTTTAATTCTACGTTGTATTTATTTTTTGATAATGTATCTATTTTGATAATGCTTATCGATAATGTGCTTATTGATAATGTACTGGATGATGATAATGTTAACGTTAAAGGAAATATATTTTATTAAAAGATTTCTCTACACTTTAGTTTTTTTTTTTTTGACTTACATAAATTTCTAAAAAAAAAATTTTTTTTATTAAATTTTTAATTAAATTTTATTTGTTTATTTTTCAATTAGAGAAAATAAAAAAATTCGAATCATTCGAATGATTCTTTAATAAATTTTTGAGAGAACCTTGCAGCCATTCACACAATAGTTCAGAATAGTTTAATAGAGAATAGAACAATTAAATTGATAAGATTGATAATTAATTTGGACGCATTTGTGTTTTCTTTATTTTATCTTTACTTAATTATCGCACGTGTTCTGAAACATATAATGATATTAACATTTTTAACGGCATTTTATTTTTTATTTCTTATTCACCTTTTTTTTTTTTGATTAACTATGGTTTCTTTGTGAAGCCACATGCATATTTGTAATGCATAATAAGACATGTCATTGCATATTAATGTATATTCGGTATAACTTAAAATATTAAGTATTTTAGGATATATCGGCAACTTTTTTATCCAATCACAATTGATTAAAATGATGTAATTTGAAATTGAGATAAATTCTTTAAAAAAAAAACGCAACATTTTATTATGTCAACCGCCTTTTAACCCCTAAGTAAAATTGTTCAGCACAAAATATTACATCTATTTTACATTTTTATTTTTAATTTTAATGCTTTTGGTCGTCAAACCATTGCCCCCTACTTGCTGTTTTCTTATTTTGATAGTAAGAAAGTAACTCAAAATGTACTTTATTAATTTAGGGTAGAAGTAATGTTTGTATAACAGAAGTGTGAAAATTGGCCGATATGTACGACAACAATTTATTAAAGAACAATGGAGATAAACCTGTAAAATGTCAACTGACTTAAAATGATGTACAATTTTTTTTTATTATAATGAGAAAATACGTAATTTAGTAGATTTATTTTAAAAGTAAAATTTTGGAAATTGATTTTATCTAGATTTTTTTCTTATAATAGTAATCTGAAATAAGGAGAACAAAGATTAAACGGACAGACAAAATATATTTCCCCTCCTCTCTCTCCCCCTCCCCCATCTTTACTCACGAATATAGTACATATTTAGTAAACACTGACTGAATACAAGGATGATGAATACTAAACTTGTGAACTTATGTGACTATCGATTAAAATACTTTAATCTTTTATTAAAAAAATATTTAAAAGAAATAATCTTACCAAATTTTCCTTCAACAAAGACATTATGATTTTATTGGAACGTTAGATTTTAATTAGGTAATTTATTTATCAGTTGCATGTAACGTGCATATAACGTTTTTATTATATATATTTTAATTTTTATTCATAACATAAATTTTTTTTAGCGTCAATCGGAGTTAAACAAAAGTTAATAAAATAAGCTATAAACATAATAATGTGTGTAAGTGCATGAATGTAATGTAATGTGAATAACTAGAAAGTAATTCATTCAATTTTTTTTTTAATTATAAATATAAAGTAAAGATTTATATATGGATAATCGATTTGGGGTTATAATCGAATTGGTTTATCCGTTTTTTTTTTTTTTTTTGAGGAACACAAAAAAAAAAAGATAAAAACGATAAAAATGTTGGTTGAACACTTTTTTTTTTTTTTTTCTTTTTCTTTTTTAACTTTATTCAAATTATCTTTTCATCTTTTCTTTACTTGCTTCTTTTCATTTTTAAAATTTAATTTATTCATTCTCATTTTTTTTTAAAAAAAAAAAAGAAAAAAAAATGGCATTTACTGTGACAGAAAAAATGGTAGAAACTTTTTCAGAAAATGATAATTTTACACTTTTATATCAAAACTTTGAAAATCAGTTTATGGAATTGTTGAGAACGAATCCATTCACTTTGTTCTTGCAAAAACAATCGCTTGAGATTGAACGTTTGAATAAACATTTTAAGGATATGGAATTTAAGCTTGGTAAATTTATAATTATTATTATTTTATTAATTATTATTTTATTAATTATTATTTTATAATTATTTATTTTTTTATTATTCTTCTATTATTATTTGATATTAAATAATAAATTATTTTATACCGATATTCTAAATTTTTTCTATATCGTTCATTAATATAAATAATAGAATCCTATGTAAAAAATAATGATTTTGAACCATTTAAATCTCGTATTACCGAACTCGAAAAAGAAAATAAATGCAATCAAAAAGAAAGAGAATCATTACTAAGTGAGATTAGAGATTTACAAGTAGAAAATAATGAATTAAAAAATAAAACTTTACGGATGTCCAAAGAAATTAATCAATTACAAAATACGGCTAAAGAATTTAATGAAATAAAATCACAAGTCATTAATACGGAATCACAAGTACAACAAAATATAGAAGATAATATTGCTCTTGAGATTCGAGTTAATAAATTGGAAAAAGTTGAAGCTGACAGAGAAAAACATTCTGCTAGAATTAGAGCTAGAAATTATTCAAGTAAGTTTTTAATCAATCATTAATAATATATTATTTATTTTTAACAATATATATATTACTTTATATTAAATATATATTAAATATATATATATATATTGCATTTTTTAACAGCTGGAAATTCCGGATTCAAAAAAATCTCACAAATCAATGATAAATATAAATCACCACTTACATCCGATTTAGAAAAGAAGATTTACGATGTAATAGATCTTGATTCTGGATATACTCGAACGAATTTATTACCTGCTTATGGATTTTTCAATTCAATAAAACAATTTAGTGATAAATTTCTACATGGGGAAGAAATAGATGAAAATATTTCTTTATCTACTTATTTATGCGATTCATCTTTAAATTTCTGGCCGCAAAATGTATCTAAGGAATTAGTTAAAGAATTAATTCCGACTTCACTAAAAGTTAAACATACATTTGCTGCTTATGATTTTATTATTGTACGTATTTTTATTTTATTTATTTTTTATTTATTTTTATATTTATATATATATTTTTATATATATTTTTATATATATTTTTATATATTTTTTATATATTTTTATTCTTTCTTTATTGTATCAAGTTTTTATTTAATTAATTTTCTCTCTCTCTCTCCCTCTCTCTTTAATTTATCTCTTATCAAATTTACAGGAACAAGTTTCTCAATATCATGAATTCGAACAGAAACTCAAGAATAATTCTTGAATCACTGTTATTTTCGCAATTATTTTAAAAAAAAAATATTATTATTAGGAAATACTTTTTAAAGACAAAAACACTTGCCATCTTTATTGAACAATGTGCACAATATCTTTGCCATGAATGCAATGTGTGTGGGAAAATAGGAAATTTGTAAAGTTAGTTCTGAGAAAGATTATTATTCTATTTAAATATATGTACAATAAATGAGACATTCTATATTTTTTCCTTTATGTATACTTTTATATATTTTGATTATTTGTATATTAGATTAAAAAAAAAAAAAAATTGTAGCGTTCATTTTGATATTATTATTCTTACTATTGACTGAAGTTTTGGAAGAGGTGTATTTTTTTTTTTTTTTTTAAAAAAAAAAAGATAATTCATATCAAATATCGTATTGAAATAATAATATTATTAAAATTATTATTATTATATCAAAACATTATTTTATTATTTAATATAAATTGTTAACATCAGAATTTTATAATATTATATTAATAAAAAATTAATAATTATAATAATTTAGTAAATAATTTTTAAATATGTAAAATTATATTAATTATATTAGATTAAATAAATAAGTAAATAATATTAATTTTCCCTTGCCCAAGCATAAATAATTAATTAATAATTAATTAATGTGAAAAAAAAATAAAAAAAAAATTACAGAATAAAAATCATTATTTGATTTTTCATTCTTTACTATCCATATCAAATATCTTGTCGTATATTAACACCTAAAAATCCATATCTCTTATATTTCTTTTGTGTTTTAATTTCTTCCGGACTTTTACTTTGATCTGAAGTTAAAGTTTTTAAATGTAAATATGATGTTGTTGTTGATATTGACTCAAGTGTTGATTTGTTGGTTGAATTCATATAGTCTAAATCGTTATTCATAATTGAGATTGGTGGTTTATTATTCGTTGAAGGTGAATCAGTTGGATGATGATAAAATTTTAGTTGGGGAAAAGTGGGTGATAAAGGTGATAAAGGTGATAAAGGTGATAATGATGATGAGGAAGAAGATATGAAAGAACTAGGAGGTGATAAAGGCGGCGTTGTATCCATTTCTGATAACAAACTCATTATTCCATTATTATTATTGTCGTCGTCGTCGTCGTTGTTTTCTTCATATCCCATGAAATTATTGGTTTCATTCGTTTTTTCGTAGATGTTATATAAGTTAGAAGGAGAAGAATGAGAATGTTTGTGTGTCAGATGTTTTTTCCTATTCCCGTTAGTTCTTTCACATAAATTTGATTGTCTTAATAGTTTTGGACGAAATTCTGTGAGTAAAAATAATTTAAAATTATTAAAGATTTTTATTATATTAAAGATTATTAAAAGTACTTAAAGATATTTAAAAATTTTTTACCTTTTTGATTATCGTCATTAAAAAGGTCATATAATTGCTGTTGTAAAGTTTCTACATCTGTCCAATATTCGTAAGGTTTATCGTCATCGTTTATAACATTTTCATTTTCAAAATTAATATTCTCTCCTTTTTCTTCAGATAATTTTCGTACATATGATTTTAATGTCGAAGTTTCGTTAACTAACTTTTCAATGTGTGATTTTAATTGTTCGTTTTCTTTTTGTAATTTTTTAAAATCATATTTATTTATCATATTATCAATTTCCAATTCACTAATTCGGTTTGTAACATAATTTTTTGTAAAATCTTTTTTGAATTCTTGAAATTTCTTTTCATTTTCTTGATTAATTTTTTTTATTATTTCATGATATCCTCTTTGTTGTTGTTGTTGTTTTTCTTCGTTTTGTTCAAAATTGACAGACATGATATTAAAGAAATAAAAAGAAATGATGATGAAAATTTTCAGATTTTTTTTTTTTTATAATTTCATTTATTTATTATTTATTTATTTATTTATTGTATTGTTAGTTAGAGATCATCATTCTTTTTTATTTTTTATTTCGTAATAATAATATTTATTATAAACAATACTAATATTTTCGTTATAAATTAAACCTATAATGGAAACCTGTATAATACTTTATCGGAAATTCTTTTTTTTTTTTTTTTGTATCACACAATTTACACAATTGGGAGTAAAAAATCAAAATTTATGGAAATAAGTATTTCCATATGACATCAGCAATCACCTTCTCACTAACTATACTGTGATCAGCCGCAAATCCAATAGATTTTGTGATCGTCTTCCTGAAACCAAAGCCACGCCCCGCTAAAAAAAATAAATAAATCCAATTACGAGTTATAGTACAAGAATCATTTTCAACACAAAAAAACCACAACAATTCAACCAGAGATCAACTAAAACCAATGAAGTTATTACGCCAGAATTGTTATCTAAATAAGCATAAATAACATAAATACGCACCACCGCACTGCCAAAAACTGTCAAAAAAAAAAAAAAAAAAAATACGAGGTGGGAAAGATTATACAGGCCCTAAAAAGAAGAGTTAAATGACGGAAAAACAATAAAATTACCAGGTATAAAATCTTAAAGTTTTGGAACTATGATAAGAATTATAATAATTAAATATCATTATTATCTTTTTTTTTTCCTTTAGTACAACCAAAATACGAGGAATATAACCCAGGAACTATCTTAGAAAGTCCTTTTAGTAAGTAAAAGATGCCACCTATATTTGTTTATACAGTATTTTGAGGTTAGAGTAATTAATAAATTATTTAATTATTTGATGAAAAATGGTTGAAAAAATTTAATAGATCTGAGGCTGGTAATTATAATTTACTATTCAATTATTATTTTATTTTATTTTTTAATAGAATAACTTATTTTGGCATTGGGGATTATTTGGGTAGTCTAATTTCATCCAGATTCGAATTTGCCATAATCCCAAAATTTTTTTTTAATATTACACGTAATAATGATAATAAAGTAAAGGTTGAATCAGAACTTTTTTTCGAATGTTCTTCAATTTTGGTTGTATACATTAAACTGAATATCCTAATCATCTTTTTTTTTTTTTAAAAAAAAAAAAAAAAAAAGAAATTGTCTTTATAAAAATATTTTCACATGCTTTTATTTAATAATATAAAAATTTCCTTTTACTGTGAATATTCTTAACTAACAACCAATAAGATATTTACTTTAGTGCATACATATTCCTCACCCAGGGCGAGCTCTCGCCCAATTTTTACTCGAGTAAAATTGCTTTCATGTGATTACAAATGATAAAAATCTAATATATTCAGACGGTGTGATGCTATGTGACAATTATAGGGGGATCAGAAATAGGTTTTCTCTTTACTTTATTCTATTTTAATATAATAAAATTTAATCATGTAATGACTTTCGCTCAAATCAATTATTGTATACCGTTAAAAAGCAAAGATGGCTTTTTTTAATCAATTGCAAAACGTATTCAAATGTAGATCAGCAAAAATTAATCGAAAATATGCAATCCGTGTGAAGATCATCAAAATTAATAATAAATAATTAATCATAGTAAATATAGTAAATCTAAATCGACGATTTTTTCAAATTTCGTTTTCCTTAGTTTCCATGTCCTTTAAAAACTAAAAAATACGACTACTTTCAGCTGATAATCTTATCCCAGAACTTCATTAGAGTACATATACAATAAATTGGTGCTTTTTTACTAATAAAAAAAAACTATAGTGACGAAAACCAAATATGAAAGTCAAATAAAACTTGGCTGGAATTACCAAATTTCCGAATTATAAATGTCCAAATCTCGCTTTCCTTGCAGATAAATTTGTGCAGATCGATGCGAATGACCTTTAAAGAATATAATCACATGTATAAATTTCTACATATTAAAATACATAGTAATTTTATCCGCGGATCGCACCACTAGCGAAATGATATACAGTAATTTTTTTAAGTTGTACAATATTTTTATAATGATCGCCAAAAATTTTGCTTTATAAATATTCCAATTTTATCCAACATTAGAATTTTTTTAAAAAAAAAAAATAATAAAAAAATAAAAAATAATTAATTAAAAATACGGCTGTATTTTTAATTAAATACTTATGCATTCTAATATTTACTTTACATTTATATTTTAATTAATAAGCAATTTTTTTAAAAATACTTTTTTTGAAATTAATGTCTATTTTATTTATTTGCAAATTATTTTTTTTTATTATCAGAAAAAGGCAAGGAATGAGTAAATTAAAATAGAGAATTCATGTATTGTTTCAACGATATAAGTTTCAAAAGAAAAACATTTAAATTCCAAAGTGATAATAGAATTTAACAAATAAAATGGTGAAGGTGGTCCTAAAGATAAGAATATAAATTTAAACCGTAAAATTATACAAAAATGGAATTGTTAACTAACATCATGAAGATTTCTTAGAAGTAACTAATAACAATAACAATGTTAAATAATAAAAAAAAGTAGAACGTATTCATGTTATTATATTTTTTATTAGCAATTTAGAAGATTACATTTGATATAATTTTATCATGAAATAATTATTTAAAAAAATTTATATATTCAGGTGAAAATTTTAAAATAATATATATAATTTCAAAAATAAAATTTATATTCAAAACAAAAAAAAAATAAATATTAAAATAAAGAATATCATTAAATTATTTCTTTTTTAAAACTTTAAAAACCTACATTAAATCTATATTGGTCACCAGAATCACCAGGCTTACTATAATAAGTGAGTTCTTTAGAACGAATTAATTCATCATAAGAAAATGCGTTTTGCACGCAACGACATCCTTTATCGGTTTTCAAATTTTTTTTTAAACACAAAGTATGGCCAAAAAATATTTTCGACTCCCGTGGGTAAATAAGAATAGCCTTATCTAAGTTTTTTACCCTACTTAAAATAGAATTTTTCAGATTTATAGTTTTCAATGAAAATGCAAAACTATCTCGACTATTAATCCATTCATATAAATTTTTACTTAATTCACAAGGAATATATCCTCCTAGAATTTCTCCGGTATCTTTCACCTTTAAAACAATAACTATATTGGATATTTTATCACAAATTTCATAAATGGTTTTAACATCAAACCCATCTCTGCTTCCTCTAATAAGTAATTTAAATTCATAAGGATTGTTTTTAGTATAGCTTGATTCTAGCCTATCAATTCACGATGAAATTTCTAAGATATGATCATCAGTGATAATATTTGAAGGTAAAGTAGCTCTAATTGGAAGTGTCACATTTAAGGCGGTAACACTTCTGAAGAGATTGGTTTGTTTGGTGCCATAATTTTCTTATTGATATCTATCCATAATTTAGGTTCAAGAATTTGTTGATATGGAAAAAATCATTTCAAATACATCTTCGCTGGAAATACTAAAATATCTAATATATGGAAGAAATTGTTTCAATGATGTTTTTAAAGTTAGAAAATTATCACTAGTCCATTCTTTGAGGTTGGCTGGTAAAGTTGGATTTTGGGCCTTCCCCCATTGAATTATATATTGCCAAATTTTAATTTCCTCCAGTTGTAAATCATCTTTTTTAATGATAAAGATTAATGCATCTTCTGGTAGGGTCTTAAAATTTTCAGACTCAAAAATCGTATTAGGGTATTTGGCAATTATGTTATTACAGAATTCTTGAATAATATTAAAGTTTTTTGTTTGATAACTTGCTTGGTGAACCTGAGAAAAGTTTAGTCTAAGCCAGGAAGCATTATTATTGACGAAGTAAGTTTGAAGATGTTTAACTAATTCATCGAGGTTAAATTTATTGGAAGTAATCAAAAGGTCAAAAATGACCGAGTTTTCCAATTTTTCTAACGAAATTATTCCACCATAGATATACCTATTTTATATATTTATTATTATTATGTGTTAATTAAAATTTAATTAATTTCAAAAATAAAATAGTTATAAATTTAATTAATATTGCTTACTTGATAATGATATTGAATATTTTAATGGAAATATTAGACATTTTAAATACTTTAATATGATTTTCATTGAAAGAAATTTCGTTTAATTTTTCATAAAAATAAGAACAACGGGATTGTAGGATATAGGAATGAACTTTATAAATTTGGTTATCTGGTTCTTCGCCAACTTCAATTGTGACATTATAATCAATAGAGTTTTCAAGAAGCTGGGTAAGGTCGTTTGATAGACGTTCATAAAATTTGGTAGTCATAAAATAAGAATAATAAACAATGCTTAGAATTTAAATCAGTTCATTTAAATGTCTAATTGTAAAAATAAAATAGGAGACCACTGACCGCAGTATAACCAATTTTAGAATAAACATTTAGATTTATAAAGTTGCTAAAAACACTTCCAAAATTAGAATAGCATTTCATATAATTTTATCAGTGCATAAAAATGAAATCGATTTAAAAAAAAAAAAAAATTTATGCATTTAAAATATATAAAATGGATATTAAAATATAAAATGAATATTATATGATGTTATATTAAATTATTTTTTTTGAACTTTAAAAACCTCATATTCTTCTACACAAAATCTATTTCTGTTAAAAGTACTATAGACACCATTATCAGTGAGTTCTTCAGAACGAATTAGTTTATGATAAGAAACATAATTTTGCAAGCAACGACATTCATTACTAGTTTTCAAATTTTCTACTAAACATAAAGTATTGCCAAAAAATAATTTTGACTGCTGTGGGCAATTAGCAATAGCATAACTAAAGTTTCTTACTCTACTTAAAATAGAATTTTTCAAATTTGTAGTTTTCAGTGAAAATGCAAAACTATCTTGACTATAAATCCATCTATTTTTATTTTTATCTAATTTACAAGGATTATATCCTCCTAAAATTTCTCCAGTATCTTTCACCTTTAAAACAATAACTGTATTGGATACTTCATCACAAATTTCATAAATGGTTTTAACATCAAAACCATCTCTGCTTCCTCTAACAAGTAATTTAAATTCGTAAGGATTGTATCTTAATTCTGGCTTATCAATCCACGATAAAATTTCTAAGGTATGCTCATCAGTGATAAGATTTGAAGATAAAGTAATTCTGGTTGGAAGCGTTACGCTTAAGATTTTTCGAGGTGTCAACACTACTGAAGAGATTGGTTTGGTCGGTGCCAGCAATTTACTATTGATATCTAACCATAATTTAGGTTCAAGAATTTGTTGATATGGAAAAATCATTTCAAATACATCTTCGCTGGTAATACTAAAATATCTAATGTATGGAAGTAATTGTTTCAATGTTGTTTTTAAGGTTAGAAAATTATCACTAGTCCATTCATCGAGGTTAGAAGGTAAAGATGGATTTTGGGCTTTTCCCCATTGAATCACATATTGCCAAATTTTAATTTCTTCCAGTTGTAAATCATCATTTTTAATAATGGAGATTAATGCATCTTCTGGGAGAGTAGGAAAGTTTTCTGATTCAAAAACAGTATTGGGATGTTTGAAAACAATGTTATTACAAAAGTCTTGAATAATATTAAAGTTTTTCACTTGACAACTTTTCTGGTAAACTTGAGAAAAGTTTAGTCTTAGCCAAGAAGCGTTATTATTGACAAAGTGAGTTTGAAGATATTCGACTAATTCTTCGAGGTTAAGTTCATTGGAAGTAATCAAGAGGTCAAAAACAATCGGGTTTTCTAATTTTTCTAATGAAATTATTCCACCATAAATATACCTATTTATATTATAAAATTTATTATTATTATTATTATGTATTTATTAAATTTTATTAAAAAAAAAAATTAGTCATAAATTTAATAAATATTGCTTACTTGATAATGATATTGAATATTTTAATGGAAATATTAGACATTTTTAATACTTTAATATGATTTTCATTGAAAGAAATTTCGTTTAATTTTTTTTGAAAATAAGAATTACGGGATTGTAAGATATAAGAATGAACTTTATAAATTTTGTTATCAGGTTCTTCGCCGACTTCAATTGTGACATTATAATCAATAGGGTTTTCAAGAAGTTGAGTAAGGTCGTTTGATAGACGTTCATAAAATTGAGTAGTCATTTTTTTTTATAAAATAAGAATAATGCTTAGAATTTAAAATGATATTTTAAATTGTTTTATTGTATTACTTAGTAAGAATATCACAGACCGCAGTATAACCAGTTTTAGAATAATAAAAAAATTGACTATAGGGATTTGTCAATAGGTTTTTTTACATAGTATTAATAGGTATATCATATGTTTTTTTGGACTTTAAAAACTCACATTATTAAATTTGTTAAAAGAATTGAAAAAACCATTATAATTGAGTTCTTCAGAACGAATTAGTTTATCAGAAGAATATAAGTTTTGCAAATAATACTATTTTTATCAGTTTTTCAAATTGACGTTTAAACATAGAGTGTTATCAAATAATAAATATTAAATATGAATGCCGTGGGTAATTAGCAATAGCACGTTAAAAGTTTTCTACTTACTTAAAATAGAATCTTTTCAGATTCGTAGTTTTTGATGAAAAAGAAAAACTATCTCGGCTATAAATCCATTCTTTTTATTTTTATTAAATTCATAAGGATTATATCCTCCTAGAATTTCTCCAGTATCTTTTATCTTTAAAACAATAACTGTATTGGAAACTTTATCATAAATTTCATAAATGGTTTTAACATTAAATCCATCCCTACTTCCTCTAACAAGTTATTTAAATTCATAAGTATTGTTTTTGGTACTGTATATCTTAATTTTCGCTTATCAATCCACGATGAAATTCTACGGTATTCTCATCAGTGATAATATTTGTAATATTTGAATATAAAGTAGTTCTGATTGGAAGTGTTACATTTAAGATTTTTCGAGGTGACAAAACTGCTGAAGAGGTTGGGTTGTTTGGTGCTAGTAATTTTAACATTGAAATCTAACCATAATTTAGGTTCAAGAATTTGTTGATATTGGAAAATTTTTTCAAATACATCTTTATTGAAATACAATACGTGAAGACATTGTTTCAATGTCATTTTTAAGGTTAGAAAATTATTCATCGAGGTTGGCTGGTAAAGGGCTTTCCCTCATCGAACTATATATTGCCAAATTTTATTTTCCTCCAATTATAAATCATCTTTTTTAATAATAGATGTATCTTCTATAATATGGGATATTTTGCAATTATGTTATTACAAGATTTTTGGATAATATTCAAGTTTCCAAGTTTTTAGTTCGATGAACCCGAGAAGTTTAGTCTTAGCCCAAGAAGCATTATTATTAACAAAATGGGGTTGATAATGTTCAACTAATTCTTCGAGGTTAAGTTCGTTGGAATTAATTAAGAGGTCAAAAAATGACCGAATTTTCTAATTTTCTAATGAAGTTATCGGCGACAGATAAGGGGTGACAAATATGATTTCCACATTCTAAGTTATAATAAATATTGATATTCAACAGGTGTGACACAGGATGAAAAATTTTTTACCCCAACCCTTGCATGATAAAAATTTATGAGAAATTTTCGGTTAATTTTTTTGAAATAAGAACTACGGGATCGTAAGATATAAGAATGAACTTTATAAATTTGTTTATCGGGTTCTTCGCCGATTTCAATTGTGACATTAAAATCAATAGGGTCTTCAAGAAGTTGGGTAAGGTCGTTTGATAGACGTTCATAAAATTTGGTTGGCATTTTTCGTAAAAGTAAATAACAGATGTAACGTGTTTATAATAATAAACGTTTTTAAGTGACCAAGTTGATAAAAATATTGATAAAATCAGCTCCCACGTGGTTAGGGCTAGGGTCTTTTTTTTTTTTATAATTTTATCTTTAACATCCTCAAAACGGCTAATCACAATTGAGGATTTGGAATTTTGATTGGATTTTTTTTTTCGTATGATATGATGATATGGGCTAAGAAATTTTAAGGCTGTAACTAAAGAATATCAATAAGAATCTTCTTCAAAATTTTATTTATTGATTTCATTTCGTTGTTGTCGTGAATCACTAGGGAGAGAAGAATAGGTGAGAAGAGAGAGGGAAAGAGAGATAAGTTAATAATAAATCATGCATCATTTTTTATGGAGGGAGGAAAAGATAATAGTAGGGAAAGCAGTATCAATCAATTCAATGCAATGAATCCCTCCTCAAATCTATAAAATCAATAGTAATTAGCACACATGATATTATTAATATTTTATTATTTTGATGGAGGGTTCTAATAAAGAAAGAAATGATGGTAGTAATTGAATAATTATTTATTAATCCTTTACCGATCAAAATTTTTTTACTATACGGTACCTTTTAAAGGAAACAATTACTGAGAAAATACAATAGAAAATACAACAGAAATACATTAGAAAATACAATAGAAAATACAACAGAAATACATTAGAAAATACTATAGAAAATACAATAGGAAAATACGTGATGATGTGAAAGAATTATTTGAAAGGTACTGTATATTTGAAGGATATATTTTAAGAAACGAAAATTTCATCTAATCTTTTTCAATAATTTTTTATTACATATATTTTCTTTAGCATCTTTACAAAATGTTAAATGCGTAAATTTTATAAAAGAAAGATTAATTACACGTCATTCATTTTAAAGGTGTTTATAGAGAGAATGATATTACTATAAAATGCGAAAGACAAGTAAATTGAAGTAATTGATAAAGTAATTGCATGATTGTTGAAAATATTTACAATATCTATATTTAAGAAGTTATTTATTAAACAGTTAGAGTGTGAGATCGTAATATATTTAAAAAATTTAAATTCGAATTAGAATTAGAAAAATAATTATCATTTATGTTTTATACCTTAAATTTTATTTTCCTTCCTTCAATAATAATCATCATTCGAATCATCCTCACTAGAAGAAGATGGTACTTTATCACCACTTTCTGTATTTTCCAATTTAACAGGTTTAATTTGAACGAAACCAAATTCTCTTCTATAATTACTTTCTATGGGACTTTCACCAAAATGAATTTCTTTATCACTTTCATTAAAGTATTTATCATAAGTCTTTTGAATGATATCGGAACCTTTATATAAACGTTTAGCTTCCCTTCTCATAGCACCTTCAGCGAGCTTTCTAGTCTTAAAACTACGATTATCGATAAAATATTCAGACTCTTTGTACCCGGAAAAATGTATTGTTAAGACCCAAATCATTTCGTCCTCATCATTCCTTTCATTTTTCTTATTTATGTTATTATTATATTGCTTAATGGTATCTTTAAAAGGTCAAAGAGAGAAAAAAAAATGTAAATTATTAGATTAAATATATCTCCACACGACGCTACTAAAAAAAAAAATTCAGCATATCGCGTAATAACTTGAGAAACCTTTGACTTGAGAGATCTTTGTAGACATTTTTTGCAATAATATTAAATATTATTAAAATTATTATTTCTTGTTTGATTATCCTTTATTTATTATCTATTGTTTTAAATCGTTTCAAGAGAGTAAGCAAGATTTAAAAGTTATTTTTAATCGCGTCCATCTGCATTAATTTATAGATAGAAAAAATTTCTATTATACTTTCCATTATACTTTCCACATTATCCTTTCCGAATGATTAATTAACTTGAGAGCTTTTTATAGTTATTGTTACATCATCAACAACAGTGAAGAACATTTGAAGAGAGGGAAAGTGAAATAAGTATAAATTTTGAATATGAATAATCAATAATTTATTATAGATAAAGCTAATATTTTAATTTATTAATATGATATTAAACATACAATTTTATCAATTTTATCAATTTTATCTAATTCTTCCTCAAAAAAAATAATGATCAATCCTAGAATCAGTTCGGTTAATTTATATAAATGAAAGTCGTGCGTTAAAAAAAAATTTTATATTTTCCTTTCTCTTTTTTTTGCGTAAGAGTAATAAGAGTAAATAATAAATAATAAAATTTGATAATAATAGTAAAATTTCATAAAATAAATATAAAATATATTAAAATAATATACACTTCGGAATAAGGAAAAGAGTTTTTTGAATATTTTTTTTTATCTGTTATGGAGAGAAGAATAAAAAATAAAGAATAATAAAAAAAAAGGGAAAAAAAAAAAAAAAATAGGAATAATGAACGGAAAAAATATGTTATTAAATTAGATAGTTCTCCAAATAATAGCAAATTAATTTATAAGCTTAATTGAAAAAAAAAATGGAATGGTTATAATATTTAAAATTTAAGTTTAGCAAAAGATAACCAATATTTTAAGGATTGTTTAGAAGTTGCTGATAAGACTATTAAATAAAAGATAAATAAAAGATATAAAAATATATTAGCAATCTTCAGAAGGATATACGTATAATTTTATCAGTGCATAAAATGAAATAAAATTATTTAAAAAATTTATATATTCAGATAAAAAAATTTACGTAAAAATAAATATTAAAATTAAAATTAAAATTATAATAAATTATTTCTTTTTGAAACTTTAAAAACCTCATATTCTTCCACATTAAATTTATATCTGCTGAGTTCTAAAGAACGAATTGGTTTATCATAAGAAAAACTATTTTGCAAGCAATGACATTTTTTATCAGTTTTCAAATTTCCTAATAAGCATAAAGTATTACCAAAAAATAATTGTGAATGCTGTGGGCTTTCAACAATGGCACGATTAAACTTGTTTACCCTACTTAAAATAGAATTTTTCAAATTGGTAGTTTTCAATGAAAATGCAAAACTATCTTGACTATAAATCCATTTATCTTTATTTTTATCTAATTCACAAGGAATATACCCTCCTAAAATTTCTTCAGTATCTTTACCTTTAAAACAATAACTGTATTGGATATTTTATCACAAATTTCATAAATGGTTTTAACATCAAACCCATCTCTACTTCCTCTGACAAGTAATTTAAATTCATAAGGATTGTTTCCAGTATATAATGATTCTCGCCTATCAATCCACGATGAAATCTCTAAGGTATGCTCATCAGTGATAATATTCGAAGATAAAGTAGTTCTGGTTGGAAGTGTTATATTTAAGATTATTCGAGGTGATAACGCAGTTGAAGAAATTGGTTCGTTGGGTGTCACGATTTTACTATTGATATCTGACCATAATTCAGGTTCGAGGATTTGGTGATATGGGGAAATCATTTCAAATACATCTTTACTGGGTATACTAAAGTATCTAATGTGCGGAAGAAATTGTTTTAATGTTGTTTTTAAGGTTAGAAAATTATCGCTAGTCCATTCATCGAGGTTGGCTGGTAAAGTTGGATTTTGGGCCTTCCCCCATTGAATTACGTATTGCCAAATCTTACTTTCCTCCAGTTGTAAATCATCTTTTTTAATGATAGAGATTAATGCATCTTCTGGAAGAGTTTGAAAATTTTCTGACTCAAAAATTATATCAGGATATTTGACAATTATGTTATTACAGAATTCTTGAATAATATTAAAGTTTTTTACTTGACAACTTGTCCGGTGAACTCGAGAAAAGTTTAGTTTTAACCAGGAAGGATTATTGTTGACAAAATGAGTTTGAAGATGTTCAACTAATTCATCGAGGTTAAGTTCATTGGAAGTAATTAAGAGATCAAAAATTAACGAATTTTCTAATTTTTCTAATGAAATTATTCCACCATAAATATATCTATTTTATCATTATGTGTGTTTATTAAAGTTAAAGTTTAATTAATTTTCAAAAAAAAAAAAAATAGTCATAAATTCGTGAAATATTGCTTACTTGATAATGATATTGAATATTTCAATAGAAATGTTAGACATTTTAAATACTTTAATATGATTTTCATCGAATGAAATTTCGTTTAATTTTTTTTGAGATAAGAATTACGGGATTGTAAGATATAAGAATGAACTTTATATATTTGATTATCAGGTTCTTCGCCAACTTCAATTATGACATTATAATCAATATGGTTTTCAAGAAGTTGAGTAAGGTCGTTTGATAGACGTTCATAAAGTTTGGTTGTCATTTTTTTTTTTTGTAAAATAAGATAATATGCTTAGAAAATTTGTAAAAAAAAAACAATTAAATAATTTTATTGTATCACTTTACTTGTAAAAATAGGATAGGCTATAACATAAATAGAATGTAGGCGTAAGTGTTTATATATATTTTTTAGAAAAAGTGTTGAGGGAAAAGAAATTTGTCAACTCCGTTCATAAATGCTATTTAGAAAATTACGATTATTTTAATTTATATTTATTATTTGAATTTTTATTTATGATAATATTGAATAAAGATTATATTAAAAATATTTTACTTGGTTTCCAAATTGAGCACACAATGTAACTTTTTTACTATTTTAATTCAAATTTTATTATCATATTATTTATAACAATAATTTTAAAATAAAAGACTAGCGATTATTTTTTTTAGAGTAGCCACGCCACTGTCACTTGAGATATACATGTTGTGTTACATGGTGTAATTGTTATTTAAAAAATATATCAGAATGTATTTTTTTATTTTTTATATTATTATATTGTTATTCTTGAATATCAAAGATTAGAAAATATTTCTAGATTCCATCCAAATGTATTTCATTAAATAATAACATCAGGATCTGTCATAAATGCTGATCGATCAAGATGAGATATCTGAATATTATTCCAATTTGGATATCTACTAAGGGCAACATATGCTTGTCCAGGTGAAAAAATATTTCTATCTAATGCAAGACATACTTTTGGTAAAGTAAGACCCTGTGATTTGTGTATAGTTGAAGCAAAGCAATTTTGTATAGGGAATTGAGTTCTTTGACAATTGCATCCATTAATCTCAAAATAATGTGTGTTTATAAATTTGAATATCTATTATTGATCCATTTGACTGAGAATGCTACTCTATCAGATTGATCTGTAAGGTCAATATCTGTAATGATTCCTATTGTTCCATTACAAATTCCATGTTTTATTAAGGAATTATTAAGGTACATAACACATGCACCAGGTTGTAAACGAACAGAAGAAGGTAAATTTGTTTTTAATTTAAAGATTTGTTCTGAATCACAAGTATCCCATGATTCAGAATCCATTAAATCTAATGCTCTTGAAATTAAAAATTTGTCATTTGGAACAGATAATAAGTTACAAATCATTCTATTAGTTTGTTGTGCATTTTCTCAAAAATCTACAACATGTGTTATATTAAGTAATGAATCAATAGTAGAGTATATTAAGAATTCAGAAGCATGTTGTTGTAATAAATTCCATGTTTCAGGTAAAATATTATTAAATCAAATTTCTTCTAACATTTTATAAAATTCTGGATCATTATTTTGATGTTGACTTGTTTTAAGAAATAGTGAATAAAATAATTGTCAAATGTATGATTTGAATACAGGTTGTCTTGTAACAGGTGGAAGTTGAGCAAGATCTCCAACTACTATCACATTAATTCCACTAAATACATTTGCATTATTATGTAAACTTGCAAAAATATTAGAAACAAAATCAAATAGGTTAGCTGAAACTAATGAAATTTCATTAATAATAAGAGTATTAATCTTTTTTAACCTAGCAAGTTCATGATTGGAATGAACTCGTATATGAAAATTTCCGGAATTAAAAGTAATTTGTAATTCTCAATGAATAGTTCAACCATTAATATTTTGTGTAGCAACACTAGTAAGTGATAATAATAAATAATTTGTATACCTTTGATCAAGCATATTTTTAATTAAATTAATTATATAAGATTTTCCAGTTCCAGCAGATCCAGTGATAAAATAATAAGGCCACTTAATTCCATTTGATGGTCCAAGATACATATTAATCATTGATAATATATGATATTGATCCTGAGGTAATTCAAGCATAGATGTTTCAGGAAGAATAGGTGGTAAAATTTTTAAATTCTGTAATTGAATATGTATAATATTAGAAAGGCTAGATAGAAGTTGTTCATTTAAAGAATTTAAAAGTTGGTTAAGTGTTTCAATAAATCTATTATCTAAATGTGTTATACATGATTGATATGCTTCTCTAGTTTGATTTTGTAAATCATTTAAATAATTTGAAAAAAGTGATAAAAATTTTTCATGGTAAGTTCCATTAGGTCCATTTTTATAATCTGATTCATTTCTGGATGGAATTTTTAATAATAATTGTTAATAGAAGTATAATTTTCCATCATTAATTTTTAAAAATTGATATCTTATTATTATATCTTTATTACATTTAACAATATAATTATTTAAATTATCATAATATATGTGATGTGAAGTTATAATTGAAGAAGGAGAAATTATATATTTTTCATAATATTGAGAATATATTAAATCATCAAATTCAGGAAGATTAGGTTGTGTCATATATTTCATTATTGTATTATCATAATAAGGATTTTCATCATTTTTATCAATCATATAAATAG